TTATCCATGTCGATCATTCCGACTCGGCTCCCACCCGCGGCCGGAGCGGCCTTGGCCGGCATCTCAGAGCCGTCGCCCTTCGCGCTGTCCCAGGTGTACTTGGCCGACTCGTCGGTCGTGGCCAGGGCCTTTCCCCCCCCTCCGCAGGCGGCATCAGCTGGCACCGCATCGGGAAAGCATGGGACGCAGCATACTAGTGCTGTACGCTGATGCAGCACGTCCGAAACAAACATATTCAGCGGCCAGCCCGTGGGAAAGTGAGAGGGAGAGGGTCTTCTCAGAAGGCTCAGGAGTCCCCTGGCCTTCTGAGACATGTTCGAAACATCTACCCGAAGACACCAACAACTTCTCAGAAGGCCGGAGGGCTTTAGAGAAGCCCCGCTGCCTTCTGAGACGGCCTCCTTCTTCTTCTTCTTATTTCCCCCCTCGCCCGCCGCCGATATATATATATATATAGTACTAGCACGCACATCTTATCGTACATCTTTTCACAAGCGTCAGGAGGCAACTCTTGGGAGGTTAGTCGTAATAACGATGAGAAACTATGTAACCCGTTTGCGGGGCCACCAGAATAGCCCAGATGAAGCCCGGGATTCAGCCAAATCAGCCCAGATTGAGCAGGATGCGGCCGGATCATGTCGGATTGGGACGGCCTTCGACGAGGAATACACCAGCGCCGATGCTGCATTTGGCATCCCAGGGGCTGCACGCTGAACACGCGGCATGGCCAGACAGCGCCCGCCAAGGAGGAGGAGGAGGCGGAGGAGGAGGAGGAGGAGGAGGAGGATAATGGGGAGGAGGAGAATGGGGAGGAGGAGGAGGAGGAGGAGGAGGAGGAGGAGGAGGAGGTCTCACACTGTTTGGTTTCTGAGCGGGCGCCCCGCCCCTGCGGGGCCGACGCACACCTAGTGTGAGCATGTTCGGGTGCTGCCCCCCGCACGCCGTCCCCGCCGCCCGCGGGCCGCCCCGCGGCTGCTCGTGGCAGAGGTCTCCCGCCTCCGCGTGCTCGCTCTTCCCTCCTTCCCCGCGGCCGGCCTTTCTCTCCTCTTTCCCTCCTCCTGCATGCCCGTCAGTTCGCATTGCAGTGCCCCCGCATCGCTGCCAGGCTGGGGCGGATCACCCCGCCTCGCTGCCGACGGAGGAATGTTTGGGTGATGCCGAAGTCGTGTCGAATCTGAATGTGCGTCGGATCGGTCTGCTTCAGCTCGGAGTCCAACTCAAATCAGACTGGCCGCGCCAAGATCCACAGCGACGCCGTGCGAAGATCGGATCGCATCGGATCGTCGAAAATTGGAATCGAATCTGACCGAGCCGGTCGAAGCATATATTGAATCCGATGGATCGGATCGACATGGACCGTGGACCCTGCGCGGGCGATTCAACTGAGCTAAGGGAAGGGATTCCTAATCTACGGAGTTTGACGTCGTGACGACATCGGCGCTCATTTCCCACACCGCGTGGCTCATTCAACTTTGAACGACCGTGGCTTTCCGACAGCGTAGATCGATCAATACTGGCAGACTCTGAGCCGCCGACGGCGTTCCGCCTAGAATGCCCACGCCGGGGTCGCCGCCGCGTCAGCGCGGCGCGACGTTAACGCTGTCGTGAAGGACTGCAACAACCATCTCGAAATCTGGTCCATCCGTGTCTTGAGCTGAGCCCAGCCGTGGCGACGCGAGCCCCCAGCAACGTCAACAGAACCACCCGAAGGCGGCGACGATGCTTTCGTGGCCCGCCCGGCGCAGTCCGCTGTCGGTGTCATCGAGTCGTTCGACGGCGGAGCCAGCAGGTCGAGGATGGCCAGCCGAAGGATGCTTGGTTCGCCATCCCAGCCTGGGGGCTGGCAAAAGCCGCGTCGAATCGGCGCGCCCCCGGTGTCGCTCGGAATCGCGCGCCCGGGCGTCGCGGCACGCGTGGAAACGTTCGCGCATCTTCGCGTCATGCCGCGGCCCTCGGGCTTCCTGCGAAGTGAGGGGGCGGAGGATCATGGGTGCAGAATCTTGCATTTTTATATGCGGAGGGGCTCGATCTTCGGCGACTCGGCAGGCGGCAGATATAGATCAATTTTGCACCCCCAGGGCCCGAGTAACTATACCCAGATCCGCCGCCCGCCGAGCTCTCCCAAGACCGCTTCCCCGATGGTCAGAGTGAGGGGGCCGAGCGGTCCTTCACCATCCTTTGGTGTGCGGGTGAAATGGGACTTCATCCCAAGTCGTTTTCAGACAATCGCGGGCCTCGTTGAGGGACCCGGGAAGCCAAACCTCGGGACCCGCTTTCCTCAGGACCCGTTTCCCACATGCCGATCCTTGCCCTCCTCGCCCTCCTCGTCCTCTTCGTCGTCTGGGGCGGTCCATGGCCGACGGGGACTGCGGCAGCCAGACAATTTTTGCTGATCACCCCCCCTCGAGTGCATAGTGTATTTTTCAAGTGAAGTGCCGCCTCCAGCCATCGCATCCTGTCTCGTACACAGGGGACTGTTAGGACTCCAAACTGCGTTGTTGGACCCCGAACTTTGGCGGAGCGCACACGGGGGTAGGGAGAGGGGGGATGGCTTCTTAGAAGGAGGCTGCTCCTTAGAAGGCGCCCGCCCTACACAGACAAGGTCCGCGCCTTCTACGAAGAAGAGGTGCTTCTAAGAAGCATTCCCCCCTCCCCATACCCACCTCTGCGCGTGACCGAGAACTACAAGAACAGCTCCCGCATGACATTTCCTCACAGTTTATGCATACATCGCGCCCTCGCGTGGGACTTAATAGGAGTGTATTGAGACGCTGCGACCTCGACGCTCAAGAATTACGCTCTCGCTCTGGACTTCCCCACGATTTGCTTGGGAAGCGCGCTCTCGCTGGAGACTTCTCGCGAGTCGAGCAAGACTGACGTTTCAACGACCCGCCCCGCCCTCTCGACCCCGCCGTCTGGGCCCGCCCGTCCGACCCGCCCGTCTGGGCATGTCCGGCCGACTCGCCCGTCTAGTTCTGCCGCTTGTTTTCCTGATCCTAACCCCTTCCTGCTAATTTCTCTTGTGCTCCATCCCTCTCCAACCTCCTTATCCATTCCCTCCTCCCTCACTTCCCCTGCTTTAAGGGCTGAGCCAACCACGCGTGGCAGGTAAGGATGAAATAAACCCCAAGGTGGATACTACCGAGTACGAAGAGGGCGGGTATCGAGGGTTCAGGAAACAAATGTTGAATGACACGCGAGCAAATAAGAGCGAACAACATTTAAAGTACGGGTGTTGCGGATATTGTTGAATTATCATGTCAGAAGAATCCGCCACCGTGCCTCTCGGCAAGGAGTGGGCGTGTCCTCAGGTCCTTTGCCGAATTATCTAAGCATTAATCCTCACTCAGGAGGGCTCCCTAAAGGCCCCAGGCCCCAAGACGGGCCGAGAAAGGCCCAAAAGGCCCCCAAGATAATCCGTGAGGGCCCCGAGTCGCCGAACGATCGCTCCAAGATGCTCAACATGACCCCCAGACAAGCCAAGATGCTGCCAAGACGCCCCAAGACGCCTCCAAGAGACCTCCCAAGAGGCCCATATCATTGATAGCCCATCGGTTTTTGCAATATGTTTGCGTTGTCGCCTTTTCGGCTCCCCGACACGCCAAGACGGCCAACGAGGCCTCCAACATAGCCCGAAGACGGCCCCAGAGGCCCCCAAGAGGGCCCAAGAAAGCCAAAAAGGACCCGAAGACAACCAACAAACATGTATGAACACATAGAACTTCGAACCTCGAAGTTCGAGTCCTGATCCTGACGCTCCCTCCTCTTGCTTATTGAATCCCCTCAACCACTCGCCCCTCAACTGACGTTGCCCCTGTAGGTGGCGGCATCCGAATGCTACTCCCGCCAACCATCGACTCTCCCGAGTCGATGGGAGGCGGGGGTAGGGTTCGGGTTTCGCCACGTAAACGACGAATTCCGAACCCTACCCACGCCGCCCATCGAGCTGCCTGAACTGTCGATCGGCGAGGGACGCTTCAAATTCCGTTCAAAATGGGTCCTCATACTCCTGCCAGGGTACAAACGCACGAATTGCTCGAGCTGCGTCCAGCCGTGCCAACGAGGAGGGCCCCCCCCAAAAAAACTCCATCCTCGAGGTTCGAATATCGAGCAGCCGCCTATCGAGTTGCCTGAACCGTTGATCAGCGAGAAAGACGACAACGTCGTGTCGTCGTCGTCGTCGTAGTTGTCGTCCTCTTCACCGCGTCGTCGTCGTCGCCGTCGCCACCCCGCCGTCGTCGTCGTCGTCGTCGTCATCGTCATCGTCCTCGCCATCGTCTTTGCCGTCGTCGTCATTCTCGTCGTCGTCGTCGTCGCCGCCGTCGTCGTCGTCGTCGTCGTCGTCGTCGTCGTCGTCGTGGTCGCCGCCATCGTGGCCACCGCCGCCGATGTCGTCGTCGTTGCCGCCGTCGCCGTCGTCGCCGTCGTCGTCGCCGCCATCGTCGCAGTCGTCATCGTCGCCATCGTCGTTGTCGCCGCCCCGCGGCCGTCGTCATCGTCGTCGTCGTCGTCGTCACGGTCGTCGTCGTCGTCGTCGTGGCCGTCGTCGCCGTCGTCGCCGAAGTCGTCGTCGTCGTCGTCGTCGTCGTCATCGCCACCGCCGTCGCCGCCCCGCCGCCGGCGCCGTCGCCGCCCCGCCGTCGTCGTCGTTCTCGTCGTCGTCGCTGTCGTCGCCGTGGTCGCCGTCGTCGTCGTCGTCGTCGTCGTCGCCGTCGTCGTTGTCGCCGTCGTCGCCGCCACCGTCCACGCCGCCGCCGAATCGGCCGTCGTCGCCATCGTCGCCGTCGTCGCCGCTTTTCGTTGTCGTCGCCGCCGCCGCCGTCGTCGTCGTCGCGGTCGTCGTCGTCGTCGCCGCCGTCGACGTCGTCGCCGTCATCGTCATCGTCGTGGTCGTCGCCGTCGTCCGGTTCGGATCCCCGGCCCTCCATCTTCTTGCCGAGCTCGTCGGTCTGGGCGGCCATCAACGTCATGTCCTTCCTGTTCTTGAATGTGCCGCTGGCCTGCCCTCCGCGCGGCTGCAGCTCCCCTCCCCGCCCCCATCTCCGGGAGGGGGGGGAGGGAAAACTACGAGGGAGGAACACGAGGGTTGGCGGAAAGGGAAGGAAAGGGGGAGGAGGCGTCGGAGGAGGACGAAAAGGGGGAGGCAGGAGGAGGGAGGAGAGGAGGAGATAATGCTGATGCTGGATGGTGAGAGTGTGAATGGGAGTGAAAATGATAGTGCTGATGATGATGATGATGATGATGATGATGATGATGATGCGGATGCTGATGCTGCTGATGATGATGCTGCTGATGATGCTGATGATGATAATGACCCAATCGCCCATCACTGCCCATGTCTCCCCAAAAGGGCCCGAACCGCCTTCCCCTTCTTGACGATGTCGCGCGACCTCGTAGAGAGTAGAGCTGCGAGGGCTTCGTTTCCCCATCTCTTGTGGGCGCGCAGGAATTTGAACGCTGAAATTGCAAAGTCGCGCGCGAGAAAAGAGGATTTCAAAGCCACCGCCTCCAGAGGCAGAACCGCAGTCGATCTTCGGGCGACCACGCGCAATAATCTGACGGGAGGCCAGGAAGAAGCGAGGGAATCTGAGCAAGCAACAGCGGACACGACAGATAATGGAAAACACCGTCGCGTCCTATCCCGCGGCGCCCGAACCTGCGCGCCAAACGGCCTTGGTGGTGCCTGGCAGCGGTGATCCATCCAGTGCTCATGGACCACAGGTGCTTAACGCAGACACACGGGGCCACGCTGGAGGCAACTCGCAGATAACTGAAAACTTGGTCTGGATGCCTGTTCTGAACATCGACCCAACACTTCCTAACCCTAGGCAGGAGCGCGCCAGACATGGAGGGACAACCCAGGGAATTTAAGAACTTCAGCCTCTTAGGAGCCTTCTTATGAATGAAGACTTCGTCGGGATCTGCGGGGATCGACTGAGTACTTTCTCGCGCGGAGCACAGGGAGAAGTTGATGGACTCCTGAACCCAATCGAGCCTGCGGGGAGAAACAACAAGACGGTCAACTTCAGAATCGCGGAGCTCGCGCCAGCGATGATCGATCCCAAGGAAGGCCACGGACTTCAAGCAGACTCGGTGAATCGCGGCCTGGTTTTCAAGGCACGTAGAGCGACACTGAACGTGGAGGCCGATCTGGTCAGTGTTGGCAAGCAAGTTTGCGGGGAGTGCCCAACGCAAACCTGCTGCGAGAAACTGATGAGCCTCGCGCTCTTCACGAAACGCCGCAGGAGGCACAGGAAGAAACTGAGCAGGATTGCCGAAAAAAAGGGACAAGCCGAACGCGCGGCGCCCATAAAAATTTTGAATGAGTCCCAGGGCCACCCCACGCATTCACTGCAACCGTTTATTGCAGCTTGGCAAGCAGCCCAATCCAACTCTCCCACGGACCACCAAAATCAATGAACATCCCGAGATGCCTAGCGTCGGTTCCGATCTAGAACGGGGAAACGTCAAAGCCAACCTGAAGGACAAGAGATTCGACGGCAAACCGCTCAACCCAGCAGGCAAAACGATGCCGCACGCCCCGCCGCAACTGCCCCTCTGACCAGGATGTCAAAAGCCACGGGGATAGAGCGTGACACATCCCTCGAAACGACGCATGCGTCGCCGGCGAATACCAGGGGCCTACCGTGATGCGGCCCACTAGAATACTCCAGGTGGTGGACCAGGGGATCGAGAAATGCCGCGAAGATAACCCCACTCATCGAACAACCCTGAATAACGCCGCGCTGTATCCAGCACCCTGGAAGACATGCCGACGGATAGCGGCTTCTGCGACCGCGTTCCTGCGTAACTCGGCGGCGGCAACTAAGAAATATCGCGGCGCTCCAAGACAGGCCGGAGAATCAATGATCTAGTCGTGGTTCAACGACGGGAACGCAGCTGCAAAGTCGAGCAGGAAGTACTCAGCTCGCTGGCAAGCTTGGAAATGGGTAGAAGCCGAGGAGCTGGGATTCCAGGGAGAGGATACGTTCGAGCATATTGCGCTTCCGCACGGCGCCCTTCTGCGAGGCTGAAACAGAAAGCTGAGCTTGAATCGGCGGAGGTCCGGCAGGGGCAGCGGCCCTCGGCCAGTCGTCGCAATTCGAGAGCGAGGTCGGCCGAGCAACGCCAACAACGCGAGATACGTCGAACGAGTTAGCCCCTCCGCCTTCCCCGGCGCCCTCCTCCTTCGGTATAGAACACGCGGGCGAGTCGTTGCGACCGTCCTTCGTCTCCTGGCAGCTGAGCAAATGGGAGTAGGGTTGAAACGAGCACTCGTGGCAGAAGTGACCACCCGACTGCCGCGCAGCATATCCAATGCCATCGGGCCCCGCAGAGGCGTTCCGCATCGCCGACATGATGCCTAGAAGCTCGTGCTTATGTAGGCGCCGCTGGATGCCTGGCGAGACCTGTTGGACCAACCGGAAGAACCCATGTTTGCTTGCCTAAAAGATGCGCATGGACATCGCCCCAGCGGCGGGCAAGGCTGACGGCCCTTTGGGCCGGGGAACCAGACGGCGCGCCCCCAGGATCAGGAACGCACGCGAGAGTGAGACGACGACGCCTGGGAGGCCAAAGCCAGAGGAAGTTGCGCAGCTGAGACGGTCTCGGGGCCGCGCGGGAGACGCGCGGGTTCTCGGCGAAGAAACCGCTGATCTCAGCGTGCAAAGTATCACTGCGCAGACCCTACAGATGCTGGACATCGCAATCGGAGAACTCGCCGATGTCGCCGTCGCACAGCTGGCGCAAGACTGGAGGGGGGCGCAGGCGCCTGCCCACAAGAGCGAGGTTCACCTGCTGGGCCGCGCGCGTGAACTTGAGACAGCGACCTTCTGCCTACTGGAAAAAATGCCATGCCTGGGGAGTCTCCCGAGCCGCCGATCCTTGACCGCGCGCGTGTACTCTTTAAGCTCCAAGATGCGCTGCCTGGTGTCCTCAGAGGGCACCGCCTCCAACGCGACCTCGTTCAGCAGAAACTCGATCTCGGGGCGACTTAGAGCCCGTCCGGGTAGCTTTCGGACGCCAGACCGATCGGGAGAAAACTGGAGAACGACGGGGATATGATCCGATGGCCCCCGACGATCGCGAGTGAGTCCCTGGGCGAAACTACGGGGGGCAAGGTCCAGCGGGGCAGAACAGGGCAAGTTGGCGCGCCACCTATCAAGCAGACCAACGCTAACGACAGCTTCGTGCACATCACATCTGCGGGTGAAGTCGCCTTGCTCGGCGTTGGTAAATCGAGGAAAGAGAGATCAATATAAACGCTGCCAGCAAGTTCGCCCGACTCCAGGAAGTTCCAATCGCGCCTATGAAAACAGCTGGGGCGTTCTGCCCCGAGGTGCGCCTCCGAATCTTCTGAAGAAGCGCCATCTTCAAGCTGTGCTTGCGCTGCGGCTTGACGCGCGCACTCATCGGCTGGAGGCTGCCAGCAAAACCATGGAAAATGAAAGAACATACCCCTCCAGCGCCGATGGCCAGCCGACCCGGATGTCCGCGAAACTGCCCAGCAAGAGATTCGCGGATAGAGATGACAACGCCGCCCGCGTGGGAGGGCAGACAGGGGCCGACGTGCGCGAACTCGTGATTGTCACGCTCGAGGCTCGGCAAGCCAGACACGGAACGGAAAGGCTCCTGCAAGAATGCAGCGTCGTTATGCTGATACAAACCTCTCGCCTTAACCTAAATGCGTTTCCGTCGAGACTCCGGCGCGGGGGCAGCTCCGGGGGGGCGGGGGGGGGGGGGGCGGCGGACTTGCAAGATGCGAGACTACACGCGCAAGGAAACAAGAGTGGCCGCAGGCATTCTGACCGAAACTGCACAAGTGAAGGGGAGGAGGAGGACGAGGAGGACGAGGGATAAGGAGAAGAGGGAGGCGACCTCCGCCGCATGCGGCTGCATGGCAGCCTACGCCACTTCAGAGGAGGAGCAGCAGCGTGGTCGTCAATCTCAGGGGCGCCGCCAAGTTTGCCTTCGCCCGTCAAGCGCGAGCGGGTAGCCGCCGAATTCGCGTTCGTTTCCTTCGCACAGGCATGCAGCGCGAGAGACCTTCGCGATGACTGACTGAGCAGGCCACGCGCCAAACCTGGAATCATCTCGGCGATCTGCTGGAGAATGCCGAGCTCCGCGCGAGACTGGAACTGCGGCTAGACAGAGAACGCCCCGCTTGACCAACTCATATGGCTCACCATGGGGCGCAAGGTAGCACGCGTCCTGGAAAGGATGGCAAGCGATCTTCATCTCAGGCTTCCACGCGCTCTGGTTCTGAACCGTAGTCTTGCATGCCGTCCAGCACTTGCTCATGGCATAGCTCCGCTTCCTAACCTCGATCGGCAAGTCACGACCAACCCGAACCTGATGCGTCGCCCCAGATCGCGCTTCGTGCCACGACGAAGGGGACAGCCTGAACTGGTCGTAAAAGTTGGACGCATCTTGATCCGACTCGAACTTGATCACAAAAGCTGTCTGCACGTTGCGAGTCCATGCCTGGCAACGATCCCGATAGGTGGTGGGCGTGAGCTTCTTTTACTCCTCAAGCTGAGCATCCAATTTAGATAAAGCAACTTCCTAGGGAAGCCAACAGTCCATACTTTCGCCTGGTCAGGGCCATCGGTTTCGTCGGCCAGGTTGAGGACGTTGCTGCCGCGGAGACGCTTTCGACCACCTCCGCTGTCACTGGAATGCACGGGAGCTGTGATAAGGCAGCCGCAGAAGCAACAACCGGAGCTTCGGCCAATTCATCCAAACGTTTTTTTCGTGAACGCCAATATTCTCGGTAATGCCACTAGAACCCCGACCTGATCCCATCTCGTCCTCGTAAGGGTCGTCGTCGCACCACTGGGGCTTGGCTTGCTTGAGCGCGCGGATCTGGTCCTCCAAGGCCTGAAAGCGCTCATCAGTCGCCAACTGCGCCGCGTTCATCTTGAGAGATAGTTCGTTGGAGGCGACCTGAACTGCTGGCACCGCAAAGGACAGCTTGTCGATGGCCGCGATGGTACTCTTC